CCCCAAAACCCCAAAACCCCTTTCTGTGAAATATATTTATAGGTAGACAGTAGTTATTTTTAATAAATTTTAAACATCGATAAAACTCTTATTAATCAGATGATTTTGTTAGAATAAGCTCTAAGGAGCATCTCTTTAATTTGGTTTCTACTTTCTACAACTATTGGATTTTCACTCCCGAGCTCGACTTATATTCTTTAGAGAATTACATGAGCTTCAAAGTTGTCAAAATTTTATTTAAGCAACTCCATGCACTGCTTAAGACTATTATCATAATCATTTTCTAGATAGAATTTCTTTGCTTAATCTAGATTGATAGACTCAGCACCAGTTACTTCCTTATTTTACTTTTGATAGTCATCCTAATCCAACTCAAATTTAACAAATGTTAGATGCTCCTCTTCTTGCTTGTCAAAAGTTTCTTTTCCAAATATCTAGTAATATTCATCTATATGCTATCTAGCAGCTGCCATGTTACCTCTTTTAGTTTGAATATATGCCAAATTTGAAATGATAGTGCTGCCATATAAATTTCTCCATTAGTTCATCTAATTTGCTTCATTAAATAAGTAAAGTGCATCATTGAAGTTTTGGTCATCCATGCATTGCTTTCCCTCTTTGATCAGCTGATTTATGAGATTCTCTTCATTCGTTACCTGATACAAAAAGACTGCACTTTTTAAAAGTTCCTTAAGTTTAATCTTGCTTGGATAGCCTCTTAACTCTATAGTTGTACTGCCCTTATACATTAGATAGGTAGTAGGCACATCCATAGGCTACTTTAATAGATTAGAACTTGTAAAAGGTATTTACCTAGACAGATTAGAATTCTGAATTAATTTCAATCTTAGCATTTACGTCTATGAGAGCCAAGCTGAACTTTCCGTTCGATTTTCCAATGTATTTTTTAATCAAGTTAATCAGTTTCTCACTGTCATAAGAGTTCCTATAGCCAATTAGTAAATGCTAATGAGGTCTTACTAAGCGTAGTATACCACTATGACTGGATATTAATTTTCGATGACCTTTTATTATAAGTCTTTCATTGTATTCAACTCAAAAACATGAGTTTTTTAATATTTCTAAGTCAAAAGTCTCTGCTTTTCTTACTTAAGGTATTATTTTCTAATCTCTATTTCCTTTTATGTCTCTTCTTCATCTCTAAAGTTTAAATTTAGATGGAAAGCTTACTCAGATTATTTTTCCTATTTTGCATTATAGACATTCAAATTTTATTTGTTAAAATGAGAGACCTATGCTTGGGATATTTTCAAAATGGATATGCGATTTTTAACTTATTTGACGTGTCTAGCAAGGTTTTAGTATATTTTCATTTAGGAGAGTGTTGATGAGGTTAATAATATTATATAATTATTATATTTAAACTAAACTTAGAAAGACATTAGTTCTGCGGGGTTTTGGGGTTTTGGGGTTTTGGGG